AATCACGAACCATTTTTGGGAGCACTGATTGCAATCCAGATCTGTGTTTAACAGACAGACTCTGAGATTTAATCCATTTCATACCGACCATCAAGGGATAAGTGCTGAAAAAGCAGGCTTAACCCAGAGGGAACAGTTACTTAAATCAGTGATGTGACAATAGAAAAATCTCTGTGCACCCAAAACAGTTAGCACTTCAGTGCCATGAAGTGGTGCGTATACAGCCGTATGATATATTTGCTATATGTGGAGTAACATATGCAGCCGTATGATATATTTGCTATATGTGGAGTAACATATGCAGCCGTATGATATATTTGCTATATGTGGAGTAACATATGCAGCCGTATGATATATTTGCTGTATGTGGAGTAACATATGCAGCTGTATGATGTATTTGCTGTATGTGGAGTAACATATGCAGCCGTATGATATATTTGCTGTATGTGGAGTAACATATGCAGCTGTATGATATATTTGCTGTATGTGGAATAACATATGCAGCTGTATGATGTATTTGCTGTATGTGGAGTAACATATGCAGCCGTATGGTATATTTGCCAAATGTGGAGTAAGCAGAACATATCTGCAGACTGGTGAGTAGTGTCATGCAATGGGATATTGACTAGTCTAAATCTCACTGTTACAGCTTAAGAATTAATTCACCGTGTGTGTACACATCACATCTCAGCTTGCAGATGTTTACAGATCAAAACTTGATTCATATTTTCCAAGGTGGTCACAAGCAACAAACTTTAGCATCTGGAAGCAATCAATCCAAGCAAGGACCTTGGAAAGCCTCCCTGGAAGAGGATTTTAAGAAGTTCTTTCTGTCTTCCAAATCGTCCAAGAGGAAGTTGAAGGAACCAGGCAACAACAATGTGACTTGGGAGAAAGACCCTGGTGGCAAGAACCATGACAATGAAGACTTCTCGGATGCTAAGGTGGCTCAAAACGAAGCTCTCCTGGATGCCTTAGTCCAGGGTGAATTGTCAGATGCTGTGTTATCTGATGAGGAGCTCTGCATTGATGTTAACTCGGAGGAACTCAGGCAGTTCATCTTGGAGTTTGAAACCAGTGGCAAGGGAAATGGAGATAAACCGCACGACGTTGCATCTCCTGGAAAGGCAAAAGCAAAACAGGGTATTGTTATAAATCACAGACATGTCCAGAGTGAGGACCAAGAAAGCCTGAACTCCTCCATCAGCACGACAGAGTCCCGAGATGGCAGCTTGACGTCCAGTCTGGCATCCAGCGACCTGTCGCCGATCAGGACCAAACAGAAGGTCCCGCGGGGGAAGAGTGTCCGCTTCCTCATGTCCAATCTCCTGAGGAACAACAAGGCCCAGCATCATCCCACCAACTGCGCCTCAGGATCAGACGAAGATTCCAAGGAGACAAGGAGGGCTCCGGCCAAAACAAAAGAGAAGACCAAAAGGAGAGACAAAGAAGAGAAAGAGCGAGACCGAGTCACTAAACAGCAGGCCAAGATCGCAAAGACTCAGATGTACTCAGCAGCCTCAACTAATAAAGCCGCAGCCCATCTGGCCCCACTGAGACAAGGAGACAGGGCACCAGATGGAGGTACACAACCCTTGAGCCAGGTACCATCGGTTACCGTAGCAACACCACTCAGTACTGAGACCAGAGACAATACCCTGCATAAGCAGCTGATACAAGCTGCAGCGCGTGGCGACCTACAGGTTCTGGTGAGTTCCTGAATGAGTTAAACCAGATGTCATTGACAGTCTTTATTTGCTTCCTCAAAGGACAGATGAGTGTTGCCTCAGGGACCACTTTACGAATCGAAGGTCGAATTCAAAAACAAAGAAATGTTGCCGAATTCTGAATCTAGAGCAACAAGCTTTTGTTATCTGTTCAAATCAGGAAAATCTTATAAAATATTTTTCTTTGCTTGATCTATCCAAAATCCTTTTTTGGTGACAAAGCTCTGAATACCAAGAAAAAGTTGAAAGAAAACCAACAAACACTTTTCAGAACTTGGCTACTGTAACAAGCTACCAATAGATCAAATCACTGCCTAATTGCATCTTCCTGCAGGAGTTCTTGCTGGCGGCCAATGAAGGTCTTTCGGAGGTGCGAGACAGTCGAGGCAACACGTTACTTCACGCAGTCGCCAGGCGAGGTCACGTTGATTGTCTGGCCTGGCTGGCAGAAGGACCCTGCTCTGAAATGTTGTCAGTTGAGAATGACGATTGCTTCACTGTGGCTGCCTTGGCTGTCAAGGTGAGATCAGATGAGAACCAGTCCCAACTATACATGTCAAAGAGGTCATTGTCGTTCCTTTATCATCATTGAGAGAGTTGAGTGCAGAACCGACTCTGGTTCTGCATCCAACACCTTTTCTTTCTTGTATTTCCCCTACAATTTTCCTGACTTAAAAAGATTCAGCAGTCTTTTTGCTTTTTGGTTCAGTACAGTACACAATGAATCTGTAGGCTTTGTTTTCAAATGGTAAACTTTGCTGTGAAGTGATATTGGAATGTCTCTTACCAGGTATAGTACGTACATTTTGTTCACAGCCACAAAACATTCAACCTAACTATCCTGTAGCTTTAAATTTGTCCTGTGGAGAGTTTGGAGGATGGGAGAAACGTAGAGCCCATATGAATATCAAAGCAGAGAGAATGTGCCCAGGGTGTCCTGCAAGGTGGAGGACTTTGATTATTCCCAGCAAAAAATACTGTAATGTTTTCTCAGTATGACATTTGGAAAGCGAGACACTGAACCTGTCACAACGTTAGTTTTAGTGTCACTTTAAAAAAAAAAATTTTTAACAGTCGCAGAATATGCAGGATTTGTCATAAAGGGAAAAATTCAGCTAACAGGAGGTATTTGATATGTTTCTTCCCAGTTCCCAGACAAACTAGCACTGAATAAAAATGTTTATAAATCAAATTTTAATGAATGTGGTGTGATCTGCGAAAACCCTTCGCATGGTGAGCTTTGTCATTTTGGTGCATATCAATTTCAAATTGATCTGGACACTGTCCTGTTTTCAGAACTGTTTAATTCGTGATTCCAGATTTACCTAGATTCACGTTGTAGACAACCTAGAATCATCAATGTAATATATCTGAAAACAAAGATGTGTCCATATTAATTCGAAGTTTATATGCCACCAAATGACAAAGCTCAGCATGTGAAGGGTTTTTGCAGATCACATTACAATAAATAATGGCAACAACAGATTTCATATCCCTTCTCACAGAATTTTAAAGAACTATGAATGATACAAATTTCATTTTATTTGAGCTGAAGTGACTGCAAACTCAAAAATACAAATGTTCAATTTCATTTGTCAGCTATTTTGTCCAGGTTTGTGGGAACAGGTCATGTTTGACCTCACATTTGTCAGTAAATTTTTCCAATAACAAAACTCGTTGCTGTATTGTGGTTCGTCACAGCATGGTCAGGTGGACTGTGTCAAGTGCCTTGTCCAGCACTCGGGGGCAGCCTCGGAACTACACCCTCCAGACCACCGCTGGTCACTGCTTCACCTAGCTGCCCGCTTTGGCCAGGAAGCCTGCCTACGCTGGTTGCTAGAATACATGCAGATGGAGGATATCTCAGTGGACCAAAGAGATCATAGCAACAACAGCCCTGCTCACCTCGCTGCCAAATATGGCTATCTTCAATGCTTACAGGTGTTAGCAAGTTGCTTTTATTCAGGTTATCTCCCCTCTAAGGATTGTTAAAAAGACCCAGGACTTCAAACTATGGGTTGGTGAGCAAGCGGCCCTAGTTGGTGATGCCGTGTTCATGTACTGGCACACACAATACTCGTGAACGGGTGAAGTAGGCTATCGTCCACCATTGGGTGTGCATGATCAAAGCTTTCTTGGATGGAGACAATTAAAGGCTGCCCAGACCTTGGGTTATCTTCAAGGCATTCTCTCCCCCACTTGAATTTCACTACCCAACTTTTCACAGTTGCAAACCAAGGACCATCATTTCCTATAATGTACCAACCAAATGTGAGAGTTAACCCTGTCTGATTCAGATACTTGGTAAGAGCATGATGTCCAATGTCGTCCACCTTCTTGACTATTCCCCACCTCCAATTCTCAAAGCCTTACACTAAAAGCCAAATACGATGTAAACTGAAATCGACAGACCAGCTAGTCTTCTGAAGAGTTGAAACAAATGCACACCAACTATAATTGATCCAGCTCCACGCTGTTATCATTAGGCTCAAACTTTTCATCCAACCCTTGTAAAGTCGATGAACTGTTGTTATTTGTTGTGTTTTGCTGTGTTTTGCCGTGTCTGCAGACACTGGTGGAGTTCAATTCTGATGTGACTTTACTCAATAAGAAGAAACAGTCACCCTGCACACTGGCAACAAGGTATCACCATGACACCTGTGCTCAGTTTTTGGTTGTCGTGGAAACCTGTATCAAGCTCTCCAATGAGCTTACCTTGACCCAGCGGAGACTGAGAGAGTGAGTTCCTTTTGTCTTTGTGTCTGGTTGTTTTAACCACTCCCTGCCGGGTGACCCGTTTTCGAGTACATAGGCTTTATATGCAGAGCTGGGGAGCCCGGAACTGGGACAAAAGAGTTTGGCCTTATAACAAAAGATGGTGCTCAGCACAAAAGACTGAGCTACTGGGCATTACCGACATTTTTTTGCTCTCAATATTGGAGAAAATCCAGCCTTGTTTTGAAACAGTATACCATGGTTTGAGGCATTTAGAACGAGCGAATTACCACCGGGGACAAAAGCCCTCCAACACTGCAGCGATGAGCCGCACAGCACCGCTGCACACTAATCTGGCCCCCATTGAAAAGAAGCCAGCAGTGCACTGTGCCGGTTTCGGGAGCAAAAGAATCTTATGTAACACCGCACAATCTGGGCTCTTTTGCCAAGGCTGCAGGCCTGGCTGAAATATTCAGGAGTCAATGAGTTTTACCTGTCAGCTTTAGAATAGTGCCCAAAGAGTCCTTCATTTTGTTATAAATGGCCATTAAATGAAATGATGAATTTTTGAAAAATTTTGTTCACGGAAAATCTTGAAAATGACCTGGGATCTTGTCTTGCTCAAGAAAAATCCACCCAGCAGCAAACGGTTAAATTTGTTAATGTAACTGCTTTGTTGTAGTTGTTCATGCTGTTAACATGATTAACTATGTATTGGTTTTCATGATATTTCTTTTTAGTTTTGTAAGTAAATAAGAGAAACTCTAGCTGGGCAAAATCCTTCGATTAAAAACAAAATATGGAAGGGCTGAGTATTTCAGAGCGCTGATTTGATATTATATTCTTGTCATATGTCTGATTTTAATATGTCTTACACATGCTCCCTAGAAAGTTAGGTTGATGAATTGATAAGATGGCAGCACAGTGCCTGTTAGGAGATATTTTATTTAAAGAGATCCTGCAATAAATAAGTTGAGTAATTAGCTGAGCGAGTACAATATCGAGCTCACAGTAATTTTAAGTTTACCCAACTTTGTTATTGTAAGATGGTTCTTGTTACTTTTTCATAGGGTGTCAACATTTTAACAATTGAAAAGCCTAAATTGGTAAATTGGGGTTATTATTTTGTTTTTGATGCTTTGCGTTTCAGAAGCCAACAGGAGAAGGAGATATTGGCCAAAAAGCTTAGGGAGGTGAGACTCTTGTCATTAATCTTTCAATTGATCAGACAAAACTTTGGTTGAAAAAGGTCTATAGAGGTTTTTCAAATGACGTCACTTGACCAACAAAGGCAGTTTTAGAAGCATTTTGAGTCTGCAGGGGCGCATGCATTTTCAAATCTGTGTCTTTCAGTTGGCAATTTCCTGTACCCCAGAATGCTGCATATCCCTGCACATCTTTGTATATTGAACGCTGACCATCAAAAATCACATGACTGAAAAACTTCTGTTGGTTGGCTTTGAACACCCATGCAGTGGATAACAGTTGCTGTGCTTTTGCAAGGGAGTTTTCAAAAGATCAACACTGTTTGCTTTCCAAATTACCCAGTAGAGTTTTTGTTGGCATTTCAAGACGGGTCGTTCATATTTACCTTGAAGTGAAAAAACAGCGCTTCCAAGTTGCTAAGGCTTTGTGCATGTACATGCACAATTGTGTAGCAAAACAAGGTGCCCAAAAGGCCTACAGGGCTGTCGAAATGAGGCCCTGACACCCCTCTTAACATTTGTCTTTCGATTGTCTTTGGTTTAATTTATGTACCCATAAATTGCAACCTAAATTACCACTAAAATGAGACCAGTTCTTAAAAATAAAACTCAGTACCATTGTAAATAATCTATATTTAGATAACTGTCATCTCTTTTCTCTCCCACAAGGCGATGTCATGCACTGACGCCCTCGTTCATATGCAGAAGACTGACCTCTCCCAACAAATTGAGCAAATCCAAGGAGAGTACGTTGACCTGACCAACCTGTTAGTCCATCAGCTAGACCAGATGCACCGGCACCAGACTGATTCCGGCAGCCAATCAGCATCCTCATTCAGGTAAAAACGTTTCAGCCAATCGGCTGGCAGTTAGTTCATGTACTCTTAAGCTTCACGTTACACGTGCAAACCAGAAAGATTTTGAATATTTTTGATAACATGTCTGAATTACCAGTGTATATTTATTCGGACTGACCAACAAGGCTTAGTTAGACACTCGGCTATTATTGGCTTAGTTCCTACTTGAGTCTTCCTGACTGTTGACAAGTTCAAAGTAAAACGGAATCTTTCATTCTTGGATTATAAGTTTACCATCAGTGCGATTGTGATTTCATTTTGAATGGGTAAATCATACGTAAAACATTCACAAAATATTTAATTAAGCGTGTGTCATTTGTAAGGACACCACAAAGAGATCAGAGACCAAAAGTCTTTTTTTTTTCATTAGGAATCTCCTTGCGCCCGACCACAAATCAGTACATTAGTATTAAGTACCCCATGATGTAGGAAATCTTTATTGGTGTGATCATTCACAGGGAGGAATTGACAGTGTCCAAGCAGAAAGCCAGTCAACTAGAACAGGCCTGCTCAGAGCTCCTTGAAATGGACCAAGAGCAACAGCAAGATGCCGCCAACAGGAACCAGCTGCAAGAGATTGAGAGGAGACTGAGCCGATTACAGCCCCTACCAACCAGCCCCATATGGCCCACGCCACCTGCTGAGCTTCATCCTGGCCTGGCATTAGACTCCATGAGGTATGCAAGACCTTGCGATGTCCACACCATCTCATAATAACTTGATGCATTTTCTGGTGACTAGTGCTGTAACACCTAATGGGAGTGCCACGTTTTGACATTACAATATTAAGCCGAACCCCTACGGTGTTTCTCCAGGCACCCTACTGAACCCAACTGAATCCAACAACAGAAAATGGTTGAAGCTTGCCGAACCCAACAGAAGCCAACAGTTAGAATAAAAGGCCTTTTGTTCACTTCGCACATCAGTAAAATCCCACAAAAAGAGTCCACCATTGGATATTGTTGGATATTGTTGGATATTTGCTGGGTTGGTTTGCATGGTTAGGGGTAATACAAATGCCTTTTTAGGATTACTCATATCAAAGGTGTTTTCCCAGTAAATTTGCTGCTACATTGACATCAGCATTACATGCAAGCCCCTGTTCTTTTGTTGTCCATTGTACTCATCTTTGATGATTGTTATGTTGTTTGCAGGGCTCGTTTGAGTGAGGTTAACCAGCAGATATCCACTCTACACCACCCAAGCCCTAGTCTGGCGTCAGACAACCTTGACACTCTCAGCCTCAGCAGCAGCTACACCTCCTCCCTCAGTTCATCCTCATCTTCCCTGCCTACGGGTGTGGTACAGTCTTCCCCCGCTCACTCAGCTAAGAAGCACAAGACGTCATGGAACGAGGAACTATCCCCGAGGGGGACGTTGGCCAGCAAAGGCAAAACAGACAGGACACATCGTGATTTACCAAAGCCTCATAAGGCACATAGCCCAACAATCAGGAGTACTGGACCAGAGCTGAGTGACCCGGTCAGAAAAGCTGAGGGTCAAAGGTTAAATCTTCCCTGCTCGTCGGACTTTGGGGAAAAGAATGACACCAGTGTGCAATATGTGAAAAGAGGTTTGACGGGGCAAAGTAATGAAACCATCCAAAAGTCACAACCACAGCAATCTCAAGCCAATATTCTTCACGTTAAAGCCTCTGTGGAACCCTTGCCTCAAAATAAAGGTCACAGCAGCACATCAACTGTTGGAAAAAACCTGCCTAAGGAATTCAGTTCTTCAGAAGACGATGCAGACAAGACTAGCCCCTCACCTCCATCTTACGAGGAGTCCTGCTCAAGACAGTCAAGAAACCTCCTCAGAGTGGAGTCTTCCATCAGGGCAAAAGATACAACTGAGATATTAGATCCTGTCCTGCAAAACGAAGACGAGGATGAACACTGCCCTGACCAAACAGGTCAAACATCATCTCAGAGGAGAACGGCTTCATCAGGGACAGAAGAGCCTGGAAGCCCTACTCAGTACTTGCTCCCTGCATTTGATAGACCTCAGCCAATCTCAGACAACCTCCACCAGATCTCGACCAGGCATTATTCGATGCAGCAGAAGTACTCACAGCAGGCCATGCCAGGCTTCATGAGGAAAGTCCAGCCCACCAACGAGTTTGGCGAGCCTGAATCAGGGAAGGTCATTGTCAAGATCAGCAATCGGGAAGAACTGGTGCTCCTTCCATCGCAAGCCAATAAGGCCCAGCTGCCGTCCGCTCACCAGCGACTTGGGTCCAATTCTAGTGTCAGTAGCTTATCCTCGGACCATCCCTGGTCAGAAAGTGACCCTGATGAGTCCCCCCGCCCCACAAGACAACCTCAGCGAGGGGGAATCCTCTCAAAGAAATCCCAGAACAAGAAGTCGCAAGATAAGCACATCACATTTGCCCTAGACGAGGAGTTAAAACTAGAACCAGGAACGTCTTCTCTGAACATTAAGCCTCCCCTCAACAAGCGACGGGACCTATCACCAATCTACGAGGCTCCAGATTTAGTCAAATCCACCAATGATGATCCCAAGAGTCAACAGAGGGAACCTCAGAAAAGTGACAAGCTAGATGAAAGTTCTGGCACGCCTAGTGTCAAGAAATCTAGTGAGTCCTCAAATCCTAAGGACAAGTCACCAATCGGTGGGAGAAACAGCCGACTCTTCAGCTACAGCAGTGACGAGGGTGATCATGAGGGACTGGAGAGTCACAGACCACAGAAGCCATCACCACGGCATGAAGCACAGAATCAGAAATATCTTAAGGGCCTGGTAAGACTCTTGTTTTAAAGAACAGCTTGAGAGGAGACTACCAAGAAGGTCTTATGTGAAATAATTGTGAAAGTCGATTTAAAGAAAAAATCAATTCCAAGATAATCAGTCCTATGTTGAAATCGAGCTGTGTACTTGTTCATGGAGTGATCTCTGGACTCTTTATCTGATAAGCTTGGTTTTTGTTCTGCTGTATTTTTGCATTTCAAAAATCTTGAGCTTTTTCTAAACTTCAGCTAAAGCAGCATTGCAGTCGAGTACTATTTGAGTACCAAATTCACTGCTGAAGCAGCATTGCAGTCGAGTACTATTTGAGTACCAAATTCACTGCTGAAGCAGCATTGCAGTCGAGTACTGTTTGAGTACCAAATTCACTGCTGAAGCAGCATTGCTGTCGAGTACCGTTTGAGTACCAAATTTACCAAATTCACTGCTAAAACAGCATTGCAGTCAAGTACTATTTGAGTTCCAAATTCACTGCTAAAACAGCATTGCGGTTGAGTACTATTTGAGTACCAAT